GAAGAACATAGTCCATGCCTCTTCTTTGGTCTCTTCGTGTTCAATATGCATGATATGCTCATCGGGAAAGTCATCTTGTAGGGACTGATATTCGTCCGTTGATCCGTGGGCTAGATAATCCGCTAGGGGGCTACCTTTAATAGATTTCTGGGTGACATGAATGATGTCAAATTCTGAGAGGAGAACTTGCCACCTAGCTATTCTTCTAGTCAGAATGGGCTTCTCGAAGAGGTACTTAATTGGGTCCATTTTGGAGACCAACCATGTTGTGTGCCGAGCCATATATTGCCGGAGACGTTGAGTGACCCACACCAATGCGCAACAGGTTTTTTCGAATGGTGTATAACGGGTTTCATAGTCTAGAAATTTCTTGCTGAGATAGTAAATGGCTCGCTCTTTTTTCCCGGTTTCATCTTGTTGTCCGAGCACACATCCCATGGACTCTTCGAGTATTGACAAGTATAGGATCAGGGGTCTGCCTTCAACGGGTGGTACCAATACCGACGGATTGGTTAAACATGTTTTGATTTTATCAAATGCTTGTTGACATTCTTCATTCCACACCGTTGGTTGATTTTTGCGCAACAGTTTAAAGATGGGTATACATTTATCCGTCAACTGTGCGATGAAACGGGCAATATAGTTAATTCGGCCTAGAAAACCTCTGACCTCCTTTTCTGTACTTGGTGGGGGCATTTCCAAAATTGCCTTGGTTTTGTCGTGGTCCACTTCGATTCCTCTTTGGCTGACAATGAACCCTAAAAGTTTTCCTGAGCGTACTCCGAAAGTACATTTTGCCGGGTTTAGTTTAAGTTGATATTTCCGGAGTCGGTCAAAAAGCTTTTTGAGGTATTGAATGTGGTCCATCTCATTCCTAGACTTGGCAATCATGTCATCCACATATACCTCTATTTCCTTGTGGATCATGTCATGGAATAATGTGACCATAGCCCTTTGATAGGTAGCCCCTGCATTCTTAAGCCAAAAGGCATTACGCGGTAGCAAAAGGTGCCCCATGGTGTAATGAAGGAGGTTTTTTCTCTGTCCTCAACGGCCAACTTTATTTGGTTATACCCCGCGTATTCGTCCATGAAGGAGTAAAGCGTGTTAGTAGCGGTATGGTCTACCAACGTGTCTATGTGCGGTAAGGGGAAGTCATCTTTTGGACTTGCTCGATTAAGGTCTCTATAATCCACACATACCCTGACCTTCCCGGTCTTTTTGATGACGGGTACTATGTTGGCCAACCACTCTGGGTACTTGGAAACTACCAGGAAATTGGCGTCCAGTTGCCTTTGTACCTCCTCTTTGATCATTAGGGACCAATCTGGTTTGATTCTCCTGAGTTTTTGCTTGACAGGTCGGAACCCTTCTTTTAATGGTAACCGATGCTCTACTATACTTGTGTCAAGCCCAGGCATGTCATGATAAGACCAAGCGAATACATATATATATATATATATATATATATATATATTCCTTTAGAAGCCGTATCAACCCCTTTTTCATACTACTTTCCATTTGGGTGCCGATGTTTACCCTTTTCTCATCGTCCCCTTCCCCCAAATTGACGGTTCTGTCTTTTCTTGATGCGGCTATATAATGCGTGCTTCTTTTTCCAAGCATTCTTTGCATGTCCGGAGAAATGGTCTCCTGCTCACTGTCGGATTCGACCCATTCGCTCTCGGTTTCCGGGGTCCACAGAGATTCATCAATCACAAACATGATGTGTTTTAGGTTCTGTTTTAGTCATAGATTTTATTATTCATTTATTTTTGAAAGAATAATAAATAAAAGAGAGAAAAGAATGAATATGACATAATGCCTCATGTATTAATGAAAATGAAAATGTATGTACATGCCCTTTTAATCAGGATTCCTGCGGCCACGGGCGGGGACCGCAGGAGATACAAGAGAAAGCTTTAAAATGAAAAAAAAAAACTAGGGCTGATCCTCCCAGTCCTCCCTCTCTGCTATTCTGGCTTAGCCAGAGGTTTGGCGTCAATGTCAGCAGCAGAGGCATCAAAGGTTATCCAACCGGCATCAATTAGCTCTTGGACCTTATATTTCAAGGTCAAACAGTTGTCAGTTGAATGCCTAGGTGCATCCGAGTGGTAACTACAATTTTCGTTGGGTTTGTACCACTCGGGGTAGGGAGGCTCCATTTTCTTTGGAGGGACGCGGGCTAGGAGGTTGGCCTGTAATAATTGAGGCAGCAGCTTTGCATAAGAGGTGGGGATAGGGGCGAACTTCCTCTCCTTTCTTTGTGACTGCCTCTCCGCCTGAGGAGTGGAGGAGGGGGTTGCAAAATTGATGGCATGTACGGCCTCTTCCCTCTTTTTGAAGGGTTTCTTGAACGAAGTACTGGAAGAAGAAGGTCGTGCTATTTTTCTGCTCCTTAACCCCTGCTCCACTCTTTCTCCCACAGTGACTATATCTGCAAAAAGATTGGAGGTACTGGCTATTGCCTTGTCGTAGTACGCTCCTGTTAGTGAATCTATGAACATAGCCACTATCTCCTTATCCGTCAAAGGAGGCTCTATTTGGGCGGCCATTTCCCTCCATCTTTGGGCGTATGCTTTGACGGGTTCGTCGTCCCTTTTGCTCAGAGTCCTGAGATCTGACCTATTAGAGGTCATATCAATGTTGTATCGGTAACGACGAAGAAAAGAATCAGCCAGTTGCTTCCAGTTCTGGACCTGCCCCCTTTCCAGTTGCATATACCAATTGAGAGCCGTGTCCGCCAGACTCTCCTGGAAGCAGTGGATCAGGAGTTTCTCGTTTTCAGCGTGTGTGGTCATCTTACGACAATACATCGTAAGGTGGTTCTTTGGGCAGGTCATCCCGACGTACTTGGGGAAGTCCAGGATTTTGAATTTGGGAGGGAAATGGATATTTTTCACCAGGCACATGTCTGCCACCTCCTTGACGTCAAAGTTGTGCCCCTCTACCGCCTTCAGCCTTTCCTCCAGGGCGGAGATTTGTTGTTTAGAAACTTCTGGGGTGAGGATGCGTACAGTTTTAGCATCCTTTTCATCGTAGAAGTATTCTTCTTCTTCTTCCTCTCCGTGGCGGGAGGCGTGTTCAGTTTAGGCTTCGCCCTTGTTCTGGCCCTGGCGTACGACCTCCAACAATTGAGCAATTTGCTCGCGGAGAGTATTGACCTCTTCAGTGAGCTTTCGGTTTTGTTCTTCTAAGTGCTCCATTGCTCTGGCCTTTTGTGCGCGAGTTCGGATGGGGAGAGGACCAACCACTTTCTAGAATGCCCGGAAGAGAGTTTATTAATGCATGTTGAGTGTTGAACTAACATGGATATGTTTATGCGTGAGAGATTCTGTTTTAAATTATGCTAAATGCGCTCTCATTTTTCTTATTTTCTCTCTTGGTATTTCTTTTACTCATGACATGATGTAATATGGATGACACGACTTTGTCAGAAGTTATTTTTAAAAAAAAAAATTATTATTTTGTTTACTTTGGTTTTATTTTATAGCCTTTTATCCCTTCTGTCGGACTGCGTGGCTACTTAGCTTACAAAGAACCTGAAACCAGGCTAGCTAAAAGGCAGATTGTCCGAGATAAAAAGTGGCTTTATGCGAAAGAATTGGTTAACGTCCCCTATCTCTTCTGTCGGACTGCGTGACTACTTAGCTTACAAAGAACATGAAACTAGGCTAGCTAAAAGGCAGACTGTCCGAGATAGGGGTGTTTATTGCGAAAAATATTTTTTTTTTATTTTTCTGTTGTTTGGTTATGCTATGCAACAAACAAATGCAACAAACATATGCACACACAATTCGAACATCCACGAACAGGCGAGAAGTCGTTTTAATCACGAGGTAGGATTTTCCTGCAGAAAAGTGCATTGGCGAAGGTAGGTTCTAACTGTTCTCACCAAGGTTTAAGGCCCCCAAGGTGCCCCCATTATAGGGTCCCCACTCTCTAGCCTTCCGACCATGCTTAGCACTAAGGCCATAGTCAGTCTTTGTGCCAAAAGAGGAAGGTTATCACCTTGAGTGGTGGTTTCCGATCACGCTGGTGGGCACAAGGCCATCACTACAGCGAACCGTACCTGCCACCCACTCCCTATGGATTTCTCACTTGCCCCCGGGTATAGGGGGAACTGTTGTGTGCAAGGGTTTGTGTACAGTTTGTATTTCAAACAATTGCATAAATATAAACAAACAATAGTTATTAAAGCCAAACAATAAACATGTTATAATACAAGGTAGGGTAAAAGCGGTATTTTCTTGGTTTATTTATTTTTAAGCTGGCCCATCACTAAATGGGATCAACTCTCTAGGCTTTCCCAGCGGAGTCGCCATCTGTCGCCGCCGTAAAAAATGAGGGCAGTCAGAGTGACGCGATGGTTTCTGACTTTCCGATTTTCGCGTTTTTATTGGTGGTTACAACGCCTTTAGGTTGTCCGATAACCGGGCTG